AGGGATACAAAGGACACTTTTTGCTCCCTGCCCTCCTAGGTCGACTAGTTCCAGGGGACTATGGAGCATCTCTCAAAATGTCCTATAATGGGGATGGGTCACCTGTCCTTTTGATCAAGGAGGCCAAAGTGACTCTACCAGATGGACTTGAACCAGTGTCCAGTCTATAAAGAGGAGGGTCAACACAGAGGAACCATTTCCTCCATGCTTCCCTGTGAAACCAACCATGGTCGAGCAGGATCTTTGGCCTATGTTCACATCGGTGGAACTGGTAAAAGAAAGGAGCCAGGGGCTCTTCCCAAGCCCATGGGAAATTTTGTAAGAGTCCATATGTATAGCTAAAGGCTACATAACATGCATCAATGCCAGACAGGAGATACCTTCTTTTGAGTTGTTGGCCAGGGTGGCCCCAGGGACTCCCAGATAGTAACCCAGCATAGAACTGGGAAAATGAACAGCAGTCCCCAATCTTATCCAAAGGAATATTGACAACTGAATACCGCTAGATGAGGAGCAGCTGACCCTCCTAAAACAAAGACCTCTAGATAGGCTGACTAGATTCACCAGATGTACAAGTAATGGGGAATGGCTGCGGGTGCCGACAACACAGCGGACATTAGCAGGGATATCAGAGTATAAGGCCTCTAGTGGTGGGATGGAGGCTATGGGAGGGTGCCATCTGGGAAGTGGGTATATATTTGAATAAGTTGGTTGGGATGTTCTGTGTGATACACACACACACACACACACACACACAAATGAACAAATTTTTAAAAATGTATTATATTTGAGGAGGAAGCATGGAAATTTATGTCATGTTATTTAGTAGAGGTAATAAACATTACTGTTGAAATCTACCCGATTGCTTTACAGACATACATGGGTGCCAAGGATCAAAGCGATTATGACTAGTAATAGATGCATACAGATTAGAGATGCGTGCACCAACATCTCAGTGCTAGTAGCAAAAATGAGTCTTTCTGCAAGGAACAATATAGTCTAAAATGAAATGGAGATCTTTTTTAAAGGCTAAAGACTCATTCAATTTTATGTCTTATAGGGCTTATACTGAGTTCAATATTGTATAACTATTAACTCAATGGTGAATGTAGAAACTTACAGCCACTTATGAAAGAGATGTACTCTCGCTCTGGAGTGTGTTACTGAATATGTTCAAGTTGTAATGAAATGCTTCTTCTAATCATGTAGTTGTTAAAAATTTTTTTAAAAAGATAAAAAAATAATTTCATTTATTTTATTTTATGTGTATGAGTATTATGCCTGCATGTAGGTAAGTGCACCCATGTCGTGCAATGCCCGTGGAGGACAGAAGAGGCTGTTGGATCCCCTTGAACTGGAGTTACAAACAGTTGTTAGCTGCCATGTAGGTGCTGGGATTTGAACCCAGGTCTTCTGCAAGAACAGTCAGTGTTCTTAACTTCTGAGCCATCTCTCCAGATATAATTTATAACTTAGAGTATCTCTATATTAAATACATTTGTATTATTCTATTTTAACTAATTTAATAGTACCTTTCAAGCTATTTTTTAATTTGATTAGTATTTTACCTGAACATGTAGAAATACAAATGTTTCTTTTGTAGTCAAAGTAAAAATTGTGGCTCTTGGCTTGAATGGAGGCCGGAAAAATCAATAGCAGAGAAAGTGAAGGATTAGATAATAAATGACTTTCACACCTGACTTCAGACCACAGCTATTATTCTTGGAAAGAACTTGGGCACACAGCACAACCTAGGATGCAACAGGAAGAACATGCCAACTTAACTGTGGTGTTCTTTATAGTAGTATTTAAAAAAATTATTAGTTTATTTTTATTTTATGTGTATTAGCTCATGTTCATGGAGGTCAGAAGAGGGCATTGAAACTCCTGGAACTGTAGTTATAGACTATTGTTAGCCACCATATGAGTTCTGGGAATTGAACCTGGGTCCTCTGCAAGAGCAGCCAGTGCTCTTAACCGCTGAGTCTATTCTCAGTACCACAGAATAAACAAAATGTACACAGAATATCAAGGCAAATAAAATTATGCAATTATTTTTAAATCATGAAAATGTTTAGAATACAATATGAATTCTTTAGGACTGATGGAATTCTATTTGCTAACCCAATTGTAGAATATTGAAGTGTTTCCATACATATTTATTGTGTATCAGAGTGGAGTGTTTACCCATATCGTGCAATGTCCATAGAGGTCGGAAGAGGGCATTGGATCCCCCGGAACTGTAGTTATAGACTATTGTTAGCCACCATATGAGTTCTGGGAATTGAACCTGGGTCCTCTGCAAGAGCAGCCCCAGTGCTCTACCGCTGAGTCTATTCTCAGTACCACAGAATAAACAAAATGTACACAGAATATCAAGGCAAATAAAATTATGCAATTATTTTTAAATCATGAAAATGTTTAGAATACAATATGAATTCTTTAGGACTGATGGAATTCTATTTGCTAACCCAATTGTAGAATATTGAAGTGTTTCCATACATACTTATTGTGTATCAGAGTGGAGTGTTTGGAAAATGCAAGTGTGGCATTGCTGGGGCTTGAATGTGTTTTAAGTGTGTCCCTCCAAGGGTTCATATGTTGGCTGCTTGTTCCTCAGGGTACCTGTGTTGTGGATGGTGTGGACCTTAAGATACAGGGCCTCTTGAATAGTCCCCAGGTCAATGGCAACTTGCCTCTGGGAGAGCCTGTAATATCTGTCTAGGGACCTTAGTTCTTCTGGGGGAGAGGGTTATGATAAAAACCTGATCTGGGACCCACTCAGCCTGGCTGGCTGATATGATTCTGTCTAGTGATGTGATTCTTCCTACCCACATGCATTCTTGCATTCCTACCATGCAGTCCCAATCAGAGCTGAGTCAATCTGGTGCTATATCCTTAAACCTCAAATGTGTGAGTTAAACAAAACTCCTCTTTTTTTAGACTGAGTGCTCAGTCCCAAATGGGACATGTCTATCAACCTCTGCCTCCCAAAAGGCTCAGGGAGCATCAAGGAAGAGGAGACAGGTATGATACAAGAGCTGGAGGGTGGGGAGGAATGCTGTGAAATGCTGTCTTCTGGACATAACAACATGGCTGGTACACTCATGAACTCACAGCAGTGGTGGTTACCTGCATAAGACCTGCACAAGACCAGGCTAGCCAAAATTCCAGCATAGAGGGAGTAGATGATCTCCAGGCCCACCCCTTACTGAGGAGCTGTTGGCCATTGACAGTTTCTAGGGGGAGGATGTGAACACTGATAGGATCCCATGCTCCAGTGGATGGCCCCACCCCTATGCACATATGGGCAACATTAATTGGACTTGGTAGATTGTATAAAAATATGACATAAAATTTAGAGGGGGACCTGTTAAGGGGGATGCAGAGGAAGCTGGAGGGAGGATATGCAGGGTAGATATGATCATATTTCAATGTAGACACATGAAATTCTCAAGAATAAAGAAAAACAAAACCAACAACAAAAACCCTCTTTTTAAAAAACCAAACAAACAAATACCTGCTTTAATAAATACTTACCTTAGGTATTTCATTATGGTAATGCAAGCATACAGGCATCGAATTGGTAAACTTATGAACTGATGACTTTAGGAAAACAGGTGATTAATAGAATTCTACAGACTGTATTCTCTAAATGACCATCTAGATATCCTGACTTAACTCTAAATTCAAGATGATGGTTTTCCTATTCTATAGAGATAATGACTAATGAAAAATAATGCAATAAAGTCAAAGAAAAAGGTTCACGGTGAGGCAGAGAAAGAAAACATTTCACACATACATTTTGCTGACAATTCTGATGCAAACAGGAATAAGACAAATGTTTATCACTTCAAAGGAAGCTTCTATCCAAACACCATTGACACAGTGATAGACTGAACACAACAACATGTTTAAGACAAAATAATACTTACTGGAGAAAACCACATCACTTTAAGAATCCAGATTGTAAGAGCAAGATTCACAACCAGGATGATGAGCAGGAGAAGAACAAATAAGTAGAGGCAGCGCTTCCTCCAGCCATAGATCCCAATCTTGTAGACGTGCTGGCTCTCTGGCCTCTCTATGTGGGTGCCCTCCGTGACCGTTGTGTACTGTTCACGCACCATCTAGCAAGAAGGGGAGCAGGAGGAGAGATAGAAGAGGGAGAAGGAGGGAGGAAAGAGAATTTGTCAATAGTGGTGTATTATGAGTCTAGAAAGCATTTTATAATACCAGGCATAAATTTCTAGAACTAAAAATTTTTTTAAAGATGTATTTTATTTTTGATTAGGTGCATATATGTGTGTGTCTGCATACATGAGGGCAGGTGCCTGTGGAAGCCATAGGTGTCAGATCCCCTGGTGCTGGAGTTACTGGTATTTTAAGCTGCCTGATGTCCGTGCTGGGAATCGAACCCGGGTCCCCTGGAAGAGCAGTACTTGCTCTTAACCACTGAGCCATCTCTCCAGCTCCCTACGAATAATTAAATGTTTCCGTCTTTTTCTTTTTTTCCTTTTCTTTTCTTTTTTTTTCTGAGACTGGATCTCCCTGTAGCCCCAGCTGGCCTGGAACTCACTATGTAGACCAAGCTGGCCTTGAACTCAGATCCACCTGCCTCTGCCTCCCAAGTACTGGGTTTAAAGGCATGCATCACCATGCCGGACTAGAAATAATAATTTTTTAAAAAGAGGCCTGGAAGCCAGGTGTGGTGATGCACATCTGTAATCCTAGCACTCCAGAGGTGAGGTAGGAGGAGCAGGAGTTCAAGGTCATCTTTCGTTATATAGTGACCCTAAGGCCAGCCTGGTCTACAGGAGATCCTGTCTCAAAAACAAACAAACAAACAAACATCAAAAAAAGGTGGAGGGAGAGTAATGTTCACTTGAAATCCAGTGGCCATATTTTCAGATTTAAAAAATTAGTTGCATTTTTATTTGATGTGTATGAACATATTGCCTGTATGAATGTAAGCATACCTGTGTCATGCAATGCCCACAGAGGTCAGAAAAGGGTGTTGGGTCCTGTGGAACTCAAGTTATAGATGGTTGTCAGCCACTATGTGGGTGCTGGGAACCAAACCTGGGTCCTCTGGAAGGGCAACCAGTGCTCTTAACTACGGAGCCATCTCTCTAGCCCCACATTTTCAGATTTTAATCAAGAAATGCTCTCTCTCTCTCTCCCTCTCTCTCTCTCTCCCTCTCTCTCTCTCACACACACATAGATACACGCCTATGGCTTTCAGAATTCTGCAGGATTGAACTTGGAAGCATCAACTTTTTGTTTTGTTGTTGAGACAGGGTCTTCGTTTAGTCCCATCTGGCCTGGAACTCAACATGTAGACAAGCCTGTCCTTGATCTCACAGAGATCCATCTGTCTCTGCTTCCTGAGTGCTGGGATTAAAGGGGTACACCACCATGCCCAGCATGAAGCATTAATTTTTAAGTCAAGCTATCAAATAGAAAGAAAATCAAGTTGGTACCCACTTTTTTCAAAGACCAATTATTTACTTTTGTTCCAAGTGGTTAAATTACATATTCCTTCAATTACTAAATTACTTGGAATTTAAAAGGACTTTTCACAAGCTACAGACTATAATCATCTTTGCCAAGTACTGACCTACTTTAAGACAGAACACAATATATGTAGGTAAATGTTTACAAATACTGTTTATGTACACCAAAGAGTTTTGGCAAGAATTTCAATTGAAAGGATTTGGAAAGCCTTAATTTTCCCTTCACACCAAGAACAAGAGAAAATGCTCTTTCTTATCAGAGAAGACCGAAAACGAAGAAGCCTTTGAGTGTAAATGCAGCATGTGAGAGGCTCCCCCTTGGAGGACTCTCACAGGGTACATGTTCATTTTTAGCAGTGATTTGGAGGCAGCTATATTGAAAGCAAGCCCTTATTTAAATAATCCTTTGCCTATTTTCAGTTTAATGATGGGAAGTTCCCCAACGTTGTGACAATGTAAAAGTGTGTTTCTATCACAAAGCGTTTTCAAGTAGCCAGGACTGGCTGTGCATGCTGTGGAACACCCAAGCATTTGATGGCTTTATACTTAGGACTGACTATTGTTTGCTATTGAACGCCTAAAGCATTTGATATCTTCATACTTGGGACTGACTGTTTATGCTGTGGAACACCTAAATATTTGAGGTCTTCATACTTGGGATTGACTGTTCTAAAGCTCCAAAACTTCCCACAAGCCTCCCAAAAGCAGCAGGTCTGTCACAGTAAGAGCCCATTCTCTGTTACCAATTTCTGTTCTAGTTTGCTTTCATTTTTCTGTGATAAGAACACTGACCAAAGCCAAGATGGGAAGGAAAGGGCTTACAGCACATTTCATCATCAAGGTAAGTCAAGGCAGTAATTCAGGGCAGAAACCTGGAGCACAGGCCATGGAGGAACACTGCTTGCTGGCTTATTCCTTTGACCTGTGCTCAACCTGCTTTATTATACAACATAGGCCCACCTGACCAGGGGTGGCACCACCCACAGTGGGCTAGGCCATCCCACATCACTCAACAGTCAAGAAAATGCCCCACAGACATGGCCACAGGCCAGTCCAATAGAGGCAATCCCCCATTTAACAAATCCCCCATTTGTTAATTTATTTATGACAAAATCTTGCCATGGAGCCCAGGCTAGCTTTGAACTCACAATACTCATCAGTACCTTTAGCCTCCCTCCTGAATGCAGGGATTATAGGCATGTACTACCATATCTGATTTTGTAGATGTCTGAGCAAGCTCAACAACACAACTCAATGTGCTTAAATGGGCCTGGAAAGTCTGACCCCCTGATATTGGAAAATGCCTATATTTTCAAACATACATGCAAAAACTGAGCACATTTAGGGCACAGAAGTATAAAGAATGCAAAAACATGTATCTCATTCAAATCCTCTTCTCTGGCCATAGTACACTAAGGCTAGAAATCCATAGCCAAAGGCTGGATAAAAGACAACTGCCAAGTATTCAGAGCAGCACTGCAGAGGGCTGGGCGGAGGCTATGACAAACCTCTCTCTGAGATACGAACCTGACTTGTCTTATGTTTTCCTGCCACAAGCTCAGTGGATGATTCCTGCAAGGACAGCGACCAGGAACAGGTAGGGAGGCCCACAGGGTACAGTGCCCTCCTCTGTTCACTAGGAGTGTTAGGGATAGGATTCTACCTCCCCTGGGGGAGGCGATACCAGACACTTGGTGTCCAGACCTCACAGCTGAGCCAAGCTCTTAGAGTACCTATAACATTAACCTGAAAACTGCTGGAAAGTCCTTTTTCACAGTTTCAAAAGCTGTCTGCCATAGCTGTGTCTCAGCTGTAATACCGAGAAGGATCACTCCTTCCTACATAACTACTACCTACCATCATGGGATGTTATCCATCACAATGACGAGGTGACCCACGGGAGAAGTCAGTGGCAATTGTGTGACCACATATGCACAGTCAGTATGGATTGTGTGCATGCAATAAATGATCAGTTTTTGCTGAATAAATGAGTGGGGCCTATCCTACTGCATGTGGTAGCATGATTTTTTGCAACCAGAATGGAAAACAAGCTAAAGACAGGATAGTACAATGTCAAAGAGAAGAGATTAGCATCTAGAACCAAGTCCATACCCAGAGATTAACCGCTGGGCAATCACAAAGTGAAAAAAGCTATGCACTCTGTACATTCTCTACCTCCACTATGTACTCTGTATAGGTCTCTCCCGCTCTCTGGGGTATAGCTAGCTGGCAGGGAGAACAGGTTAGTGAGCATGCTCATAATAGTGACAGGGCTGGGGAGATGGCTCAGTTGATAAAGCACTAGCCTCCCAAGTGTAAAGACCTGAGTTTGGAGCCCCCAGAACCTATGCAGAAAGCTACATGCACCTGCAATCCCTGAAACAGCAAGATGGGAGGTAGAGACAGGAGGCTTCTTGGAAGTTATGGGCCCATCAGTCAGCCTGGCCTATTTGGGAAATTCCAGGCCAAAGACAGACCCTGCCTCAAACATAAGGCACCTGAGGACCAACATCAGACGTTGTTCTATGACTTTCACATGGGTGCCCACATGTGTATGTAAACACACACACACACACACACACACACACACACTGATTGCCAACTGCTCACTACAACAGCAAGATGGGAGGTAGAGACAGGAGGCTTCTTGGAAGTTGTGGGCCCATCAGTCAGCCTGGCCTATTTGGGAAATTCCAGGCCAAGGACAGACCCTGCCTCAAACATAAGGCACCTGAGGACCAACATCAGACATTGTTCTATGACTTTCACATGAGTGCCCACATGTGTATGTAAACACACATACACACACACACACACACACACACACACACACACACACACACACACTGATTGCCAACTGCTCACTAGTCCTGAGAGCAAATGCATACATTTCAGCTCTGCTTTCTGTAAACTTCTGAGAATAGCTCATGCCCGCATTAGATACAGCAGTAACTCCCAGCATATTTTCCATCTGACTATCTGCGCCATAACTCATCATTCAAAATGAATGACCACCAACATTTAGGAGGCCAGGAGGAATGGGAGGTGCTCACTCTAGAAGACATGTAACACAAAGAATATCATGACAGTAAGAAGCTAAAAACAGGTATGTTTGGAGAAATACTGCTTTAAAGACAGGAAGAACACACAAGATCAGTACTTTAAAAATAGAAAATATTCCAAGTCCTATTGAAAAATACAAATACAACAAACATAGGAGTGCATATGTATAGCTGATGGTTATATAACAAAAAACACAGTGCCAGGCAAGAGAAACCTCCCTTTGAGTTGTTGGTCAAGGTAGTTCAAGAGTTGTCCGAAATAACACAGACTATTGTCATACCCCTTGATTGCCTCCCAGAACTTGAAGGTAAGATTCAATAGCCGAAGACAAGCCATACCTTGGAGTAATCAAGCTGGAATTGACCTGGAAACCTCCTCCCTGAATACTAGTTCTTATGGTATCAGAGGCTCTTATAAAAGTTGCCAAGGGAGAAAACCAATCAGTGGCCCTACTCAGCTGTAAAGTGTAGCAAACAGCAATTGGCCCAGCAAATGATTGCTACTGGTGCAGTAATGGCACTTTTATCTTGGGAGTAATCAACAGTCATCTA